CCCTAGCCTACCTAGCCCCTTGCCCCCCCTTATCTCTGCTGTGGGTGGTTAGTTTGAAGCGGTCCTGCGTCATATCAGGGGAAAAGCCATACTGCCCTGGGGAGTGCTCAGGGTCCAAGTTATATCCCAAAAAAGCCGAAAAAGAAGTAAGCCTCGTCCCACCCGTCCAATTGTCCATCCATTAAAGAGTTTAATGGGAAAAAAAATAGAGGGTCGAGCTTGAAATCTGTGTGAAAGAGAAGAAAGAATGAACCACCTCAGGTCATATTGGGTTTACGGAACAGCTAATCTTTTTTATGTGTCACTGTGTGTGTGTGTGTTTGGAGGGGGGGCTTTATGTTTGTTATAAAGAACCCTTTTTTAGACAAGAAAAATTGAAGTCATTGCACTGAGTTACAGGGGTTAATATCAATTACAATAGTCACCCCGCAACTCTGCTGCGTGTGACGTAGTCAGAGATCGCGGCTCAAAACAACAAGTCTTTCGGTCCTTTGAACTCTCGCTGTCACGGAAGTCTCCCCCCCCCCCCCCCCAAACCAGCTCCCCGCCCACCCCCTCCTTTTTCCTCCGTCCCACACCCTCTGTGCAACGCCAAGGGCACGTCACTCTTCCGCTTCTCAAAGCGAATCAATAGCAAAAAAACGAATCAGAAACTAGGTACCTAGTTTTTGGAAAAATTAACCGGAGACCTAGTTTTGGGCTCGTATTCGGTTATTCGAATAATTTATTCGGTTTCTGCCCAGGCCTACTGTGGACCAGGCCAGGGGTGGTCAGTGTCGTCGTCTTTTAGTTGCTGTCGCCTGTGGATACACTCGCACATTCTTCCTTTCACCCGCTCTTTCACTCACACTGTCTCTCCATCCACAGTTCAGCTCGTCATACGTTCAAAAGTTGCCCACTAGTTATGTTTAGTTAGTGTGTGTACATGTGCATGATGGTGGTGGGTGTGTGATGGGTGTTACTGAAGGTTGTCTGTAGGCGGGCTTGCCATGCGGTACGTGTTCCTTCCCAGACCAGAGGCAGAGGCAGAATGAAAGTTGGCGCCGAACTCTCGCAATAAATAGGCAAAAAATCACGAGACCGGAAGCCGAAAACCGTTCGGAGAAATAAAGATCGGCACTATTTCTCCGAACGTTCGGGGAAATAGTCACTTCGTTTTATTATTATCAAAGATAGTACAAGACAAGATGGGCCACTCAGCCTAAAAAGTGTCCGCAGGAAGTATGCTCTTTGCTTCAGATGGCGCTGCAGTCTGTTTTGAAGCTCTCTTTCGTTTTTCCAGAAGAAGAATAGGAATAGCACCTCCTTGCGTGCGCAGATCGACTGCAAGTTCATCAGCAGTTCGGGTACGTTCAGTGCGGAGTTTTAGGGTTTTTTAAATTTTAATATCCTCTCGCCCTTCATTCTAAAGTCAAATTAAACGAAGAAAACCATCTCCTTTTCCTCCGGAAGAGGTTTTTTGTCAGCGTAACCATTTTTAAAAAGCGTTCTTCCTAAATTTATCCCAAAACTTGCTAGTTTCACTTTGATTTTTTAAAACTCAAGTAGGGTAACTCTGTTCGCAAAGAGTGCGCTTTTGTGAAGAGGGCGCCACCAAATTTTGAGGACACTTTTTAAATTGGCTCAAAGAGAGAAGTGGCCCATCTTGTCTTGTACTATCTTTGTTATTATTGAGCTACACCAAAGAGGTATAACTCTTTGATTTGCACTAAAGCATATAGGCACGGTTATCTCCACTAGGCCTAGCAGTATCCTCTTGATAGCCTACAGTTTTCCGCTTCCGGTTGGCAGTTGGCAGATTGAAAAATGAAAATGGCGGCACCCATGAGGACAAAGTTCTGAGAGTGGTACCGCCAACTCAAACTTTCTTCTTCGTCTCTCCCATTTTATGCAAAGGTTTGACCGCTGCGTTTTCTTGAACATTACAAAGGAGTCTTGTCTGTAAGGAAGAAAACATAAATAAAGGCCTTATGATTTTGACTTGGTAGTGTTGTTATTGTTGATTGATGATCCTGCGTCAGGCGGTGCAGTGGACAGTGGGAAAAATAGGCTGCTAGATCTAGATCTAGGTCTAGATCTAGATTTAGATTAGATCTAGATCTAGAGATATCTCTAGATCTAGACCCTAGATCTAGGCCTACTGCTAGACTAGAATCTAGATCTAGATATCAAATCTAGACTCTAGATCTAGTGCTAGAGCTAAATCTAGATCTAGAATCTAGATTGGTGATCTTGTAGATTTTCTAGTTCCGTTCGTTAACCCTAGAAGCGCTCAGCGTTTCACCGGATGTAACCCGCCAAAAATGCCCCGCCGCCACGGCCGATCAGTTGTAAACATGGGGGTTTGGCGGGGGGGAAACAGCTGAGATACCCGAAATGTATACCTGCTACTGAAAAATGACCATTTACGGCTCAACAGATGATAAAAAGCATATAAAAGCATATATTTTCTTTAAGCTGATAGAATGAGCCATTCAAAAATGATCAGCCATCAAACAAATACAAACAATGCCGAGAACGCGATAGACTCAACAATTAGTACATCAGCACGGCGAAACAAGTGATAACACATAGCGTGTAGTCGCTCAGCGGGACCGCGTCACTTTATCGATCGATATCTCGGCCAAGAGACGCTCTACGAGGTCAAGATAACTTGCAAAGTCATTGGTCACTATTTATAACTTTGGCCTGTAATTGACTACGTCATTTTCCATATAAGGAACACTGGAATTTTCCATTGAAAAGGGTCAGCGTCTATGCCCTTTATATAGGGCCTGCGCGCTTCCCGGTCGAAGTAGGTCAGCCCTATATATAGGGCGTGCGCGCTTCCCGGGTAGCCCGGCTCACGCCCTTTATATAGGGCCTGCGCGCTTCCAGGGTTAAAGTCCACCATTCATTTGTTTATTATTTATATCCAGGAAGTGGCTATTCTCATCCGGGGTGAGAATAGAAAAACGATCTACCTCTCACCCCGGGTGAGACTCGCGACCGTAGGCTATTCTCACCCGGTTTGAAACAAGACCTGCTTTTCCTCATTTTGGAATACTGTCTATCGATGTGGATGATCAAATTGATAAGAGCCAAGAAAAAATTATGTTATAACACAAAAGTAAGCTAATTTGATCGTCTTCAAAGATTCTATGGCTATTTCACTGTTCGAATCGAGCCGAACTACGCGGGTCGCCATTTTGTTTTGCCCAGAAGTTCTCGCAAGATCTACTCCTCCCCTCTCTCTCTCTCTCTGTCTCTTTCTGAATGTATACTGTCTATCGGTGTGGACAATCAAATTGACCAAAACAAAGTTAAAAAATGATGTCAAAACACAAAAGTAAATTAATTTGGTTGTCTACAAAGATGCTACGGCTATTTAACTTGTCGAATCGACCCGAACTACGCGGGTCGCCATTTTGTTTTGACCGGAAGTTCTCGCGCTACTCCTCTCTCTCTCTCTTTCTCTCTCTCTCTCTCCACTGCCCACAGACAAAATTGTACACTTTTAGTAGGCTACAGTTGTAATGGAACGTTTGGTCACGGCACAGAATTCTACAATTTGTCTGTTATCACAGTGTAGAATTCTGTGGTTTAGGGTGAACGCAAAATTTGTTGGCCTAGATCTAGGCTATATAACGGTGAACGCGCACCGGGTGAGAATAGCCAAAATAAGACTCGCCTGCACTATTCTCACCGCGGGTGAGAATAGAGGTGGCCTTATATCCAGCAGAGAAGAAATCCGGGAAGTCTTTGACTTTGATCTGATGATCAAAAAGGCAACACAAAGAGCAGGGATGCAACCTAGCTGCAAAACATCAAATTATGAACCCCCTGACCCCCCCCCCCCCCCAATGAAATTAGGTAACCTCCTTACTCTTGACTCGGCACTACTGTACTTTGTACAATTGCGGTCCCGCTAGTTCTAGCACTATAGTAGATCTAGATTCTAGATCTAAATCGCACAAGCAAAGTACTGGATATCGATACTAATTTAAATATTCGGTATCAATGTTTTATCAGTTGATCTAGCCTACAAAATGAGCAGTAAAACTTCACTTGTATTCTCAAGGGAAGTGGCTATTCTCACCCGGGGTGAGAATAGAAATATAATCGACCTCTCACCCCGGGTGAGACTTGCCACCGTAGGCTATTCAGATTCTCACCCGGTGTGAAACAAGACCTGTTTTTCCTAATTTCGGAATACTTTCTATCGATGTGGATGATCAAATGGATAAAGGTAAAGGAAAGATTACGTATAGCACAAAAGTAAGCTAATTTTATTGACTACAAAGATGCTATGGCTATTTCACTTTTCGAATCGAGCCGAACTACGGGGGTCGCCATTTTGTTTTGCCCGGAAGTTCTCGCAAGATCTACTCCTCCCCTCTTCTCTCTCTCTGTCTCTCTCTGAATACTGTCAGTGTGGACGATCAAATTGACCAAAACAAAGTTAAAAAATGATGTTAAAACACAAAGTTAATTAATTTGGTCGTCTACAAAGATGCTACGGCTATTTAACTTTTCGAATCTAGCCGAACTACACGAGTCGCCATTTTGTTTTGCCCTGAAGTTCTTGCGCTACTCATCTCTCTCTCTCTCTTTCTAGGTACCAGAAACTAAATTTTCAAAGTAGCTGTATGCCAGATTTATCTGTTCCATTTGAAAGTCCCCCAGGGCAGTGTCCTGTCCCCCACACTGTTCCTTGTCTTCATCGATGATATTGAAGCAGGCCTGCCTGAAACCGTGAAGAC